CCCCCTACCCCCAAATATAATCTACTCTGCAACCCTCATTGCATACTCCTACGATAAAAATAATGCCCTAAAATATAATACTTTTAGAGTATTCTCTCCCCCATAGACTTCAATGCCATAAACATATTTCATCCAGTTGGAACTGGGCCTGGGGTCTCAGCAGAGATTCCATGGCTCCCTAGAACCTAGCATCTTCCACAGCCCCACCCACATTTCCCAGGAGGGACTTGGTGGCCAGGACGGGATATTGCACCTTACCCCTTCTAACTTGTGTGTGTGGCCTGGTCCTGAATCACCCCTGTGCCCTCCCTCACCCCTGTGTGCTGGATCTTGAGTTGCAGAAACAAGGGGGATAGAGAAGATGGAGAGATTAATTGCATTAAAGTGTCACATTCTTCAGTCTTGGATTTGGGTCCTTGAAACCAGATCTCCCAGCTCTGTGCACAGTTGGTATTTAATGAGTGTTGGTGGGAAGGAGGATCAGGAATCCCAAGACTATAGATGTCCAGGGATTGCACCAGGAATCAGCAGGAGGGGAGTGGGGCCCACTCTGGGGACAGGTGGTCCTGAGCAGGCAGATCTGGGCTTATGTCCTGGCTCTGAAACTATGCCATCTTAAGCACTTCACTGCCAAAAAACTGCCATCAAGTTGGTTCTGAGTCTGAAACTCTCCCTTGGGTTTATGAAGGAGCTCTGCTTGGCCTAGTGGTAGTGCTTCCAATCCAAAGGCATGTGGTTTGAATCCATCAGCTGCTCTGTGCAAGGAGAATGGGCAACCTCATCCCATGCAATATATAATCTCTAAAAATCTGCTTAAGGGTCAGCAATGAGTCAGTTCTGTTCCAGAAACACAACACATAACAACAACACTGGGTTTATGAGTCTGTAAATCACAAGAAACCTTTTTAAGGAGAAAGATGAGCACTCTTCCCTGTGCAATTAAACTGCATCTGAAAACCTGCAGGTTGGCTGTGACTCAACAGTACACAACTACACAAATCACACCAGAAGGCTGTCATACTTCTTCCCGGAGCCTCTATATGATCAATACAGAGCAGCTTGTTACTTGCTAAGCCACCAGATCTTCCTGAACATGCTGTCGAGTAGGAACCAGCCCATAGCTGAACCCCCATCCTTCTCCTCTGGAACAGCTGGTGGATTTGAACTGAATGTCTTCGAGTCTACAGAGCATCTTCTTGCCATGAAGCCACCAGAGCTTCAGGAACATCTTACTTAGGTCCCCTAAACCTCAGTTTTTCCATTTGTGAAATGAACACAACCATAGGCTCCTAAAGGGTTGTATGACACTATGTGGAAAGCGCTTGGAAAGAACCTTGCCCAGCAGGTGCGAGGTGTTGCTATTTGTTAGTGGCAGAGCTCGCCAGGGTAGGTGCAAGGGAGGACGGAGATGACCTCTCCTTAAAGGCGGAAAGAAAGCCCTTTATGGTTGTGGTCTGCTGAGTTTCAGGGAGTGCCTATTCTTATTTGCATCATACAAATCAGAGACCAACGTGCAGCGAGAGATTAGGATAGGCAGTGCACAAGACATCATCACTGGTGCCAGCACATTCACAAGCATGCATCCTCGAATGGAGCACTATCTCCTCTTTTTGGCTTGTTCCAGAGATTTTTTTATATTTGATAATTCATCTGTTGATCTGTGCATTTTAAGAAAGCACTAGGGCGACGCAGCGCGAGGGCGACGCAGCGCGAGGGCGACGCAGCACAAGGGCGAGGCCACCAGCCGGGGGAACGCCGTCCACAGACGGGGAACACC